AGGCTTTCCCCCATCCTATTTACTTTTCGGCTTTATACCCACAGAACATTCTAACCATATTAACCCTTACCCCCTTATTGACATTTCCAGACAACAAGCCTACCAACGCACACAACTGAAACACGACAAAGATAAACAAAAATTTGATCTTAATCACAAAACACCTAACTTTGAAATTGGAGACCTCGTTCTTGTCAAAGTGTACCACCATCCTAACACTGGAAAGCTTACTCCTTATTTCACAGGTCCCTACACAATTTTAGAAATTATTTCTCCCAATGTGGTAAAGATTTAGAAAGAGGGGATCATATATCGCCGCAACTCTTTTTATTAACGCGATTAAAGGAAGCTTTCGGGCAAGCCTTTCTTCAGCTAACTATAGTGTACAAACAAGGCAAACGAGAGAAAGATTATATAACGTTTTTAAAGAGACATCTATGTAAATATAGTACAAAATATCTTGAAGAAATTTACATAATTGAATAAATATAAAGAATCAACTATAGACAGTTCAAAGGATTTAGTGGAGAGAAAAAATGGAATGGCTATTGTTTTTATATGGCTTTTGAATATTTTTTATGATAGAAGGGGAACGTATTGTGATGGCAACTGTATACTTTTGTTTAATGGTTTAGGGTGCTTCATGGTTTCTATTGCTTCAAGAATGAGTCTTTGGGTTTTGGTTTTGGCATTTTTATGGAGGATTCTGGTATTATTGAAGTCTGGAGTATGTCCGGTTTCTCTGACGTGGTCGGCTATTAAAGAGTTTGGGTTAAGTTTGGAAATGTTTCTTTGGTGTTCTTTGATTCTGATTGAAAGATCTCTTGATGTTTCGCCGATATAGACACTATTGCAGTTGAGGCAGGGAATTTGGTGAACTAAATCTTTTTTCTGTTTCTGGTCGGTGCTTTTGTGATTGGGTTTCTTAGAATCGAGGCTATGGAAGGTGAACTTCTGAAGATGGTTTTTATGCCAAAACTTTCAAGTTTGCGGGCTATTGTGATTGTAGATTATGTATATGATAAGTAACAGGTGGAGATGTAATGATTGGAGTTATAATGGGGGTCCCTGGTTTATATCTATTTCTTTAATGAAAGGAAGCGGATATCCAGATTTAAGAAGCTGGTTTTCGATAAAATTAAGTTCTTTATTGTATTCTATTTTTGATGAACAGTGGGGTGAAGGCTCTTTTAATAGACCAAATCAACCGCTCAATAAGGAACACGACACAATACATGTCAACAAACTCAGGCCCTACACAGAAAGCGTCCCTCATATAGCACCCCCACCATGCAGGCCCATTATGTTCAAACCCAAAGACAATGACTCATTTCCGTTCCGACATCTCTCACCGGACTTGTTCCAAGAATACCAACTCCCGATCAAACCAGCCAGCAGCCAACCTCTTCTACCTCTAACCCCAAATCTTTTAAACCCTAATCCAAGTAGAACCGACTTCAAGTAACAATGCTTCCCCAGCTCCCCAGCTACAAATCAATCATGAATCAACCCAGTCCTAAGTCAAGTCATCAACCCTCCAACATAAATGGCTCAGCCCACAACTAATCTCTCTTATAAAAAATATAGGATACAATATGGAAAATATTTTTATTTTCCACTTAATTTCTCCTAATTTACACGCTAACAATGCCCTTCTCCACCGTCCCGCTAATCACGCTTATCTACATAGGAATATACGCACAAGAAACTGATAGACTTTTTCAACTACAAGAAGCCATTTTCCAACTACTTACCATCATCTGGATTTTGATAGGAGAAACTGTTCAACGTCTATTTAGAACTCCCCCACCACCTACGCCCTGACAACTATTTCCCTTACATCACAGATAGCTTATCCCAACCATATTTATTTGTACTCCACATGTTGTTACCATACTACCCCACAACTATCTTCCTTAAAAATCAATGTCTTGTCGTAATGCTGCACATTGATTCGTTTGTCAACCTATGTACCCACACATTTTTTCTCACCCTATGTTACCACTGCAACATTTTTTCAAGCGAGCTTTAAACCTAAAGTGGACTTGTTTACAAATTTAATCAATGTTTACCATTGTCCCCACTTTTGTAAATACCGTTATATTTTAATTTTGTTTCACCATTTTTCTTTTCACACTTCTCAGCTTCTGCAATTGTTTTCTCTCAACAACCACGAAATTACCTTGCCTTTCACCAAACCTTACCATCTTAGCGGATCTTTTCACCACAGCGCGACCCATGTCTTTGTCAGTTTTTTTAATGGTGATGTTTTTCTTTATGTTTTTTTATGTTCATTTTTTTACACTTTCAGAAATTGCCTTGATGTAGTTTGTCCATACACCAAGCTTAAATACTCTGCAGGCATTCTTTTTTTTCACTCACTCACCATCGCGCTATGTTCATTTTTTTCCACCCAAGATCGCTAAGTAGAGAACAATAGTTGTTTTTTTGATCCCTTGTTAACTAGTTCCAAGACGTCCTAGCGAAACGCCTTGCAAACCCATGTTATCAAGCTGATCCTGCTGTCAACCAATTTAATCACCACGTTGTAATTCTTTTAACAGTTCCTACTTCATCTTTCCATACTGTAACATTGTCGACCGCGAATTCTTACCACCCTGTAAATAGCTTTGTTTGTTTACCCAATTAATTTTCCCCAAAAAATTACTTCCCATCTACCAGAATTTAACTCAGGCTGCCCCTGTCTAAATTCTTCAACGCAGGGGGCCCATCTGTGGTAATTTAAGAATCGTAAACATCTGTGTAAATAAACACCACCTCTTCTTACATCCCCTACTCTAATATGGACTTTTAATCATGGTACCCAATCCTCCTTTAATCCATTTAACTTTGTATGTATCGCTTTTATGTGTTCAATTAAATAAAGAGGTATATCTAGAGGGAACGTAGAAACCAAAAGGGCTTACCCCGCAGAAAATGAGGTCAATCGCCCCGACAAGCAGCGCCAGACGTCCGATGACGTCAGGGCTTACCCCGCAAACATGAGGTCAACCGTCGCGTCAACTCGGCGCCAGACGTCCGATGACGTAACAAGGCTTACCCGCAGCCAATGAGGTCAACCGCCCCTACACGCGGCGCCAGACGTCCGGTGATTTAACACTTAAGCATATAAAAAGGGCTTGCCCCGCAGCCAAAAGAGTCAGTCAGTTCAGCAGACGCAAGATAGCAGACAGCAGACAGCAGTAGCGGACAGATCGTTAGTAAGTGGCCCGCCGGCCGTAACTTGAACTCTGCGTTCCCTCTCTCTGATGCCTCGGATTCCTCTGTGATTCGTCTTTGTGTGCTTTACCACTCACCACCATCACGACTGCGCAATCATCATCTTTCCCCACGACTCAATACAACAGACCAGACCACCGAAATACCACATATATATATATTAATTAAATGTTACCACAGAGTGTGTGTAAGATCACAGGTAAATAGGCGCTAACCGAAACAAAAAAAGTTCCTTTGTTTATATTAGTTTCCCTTTTATATTTTGTTCTCTCTCATGTAAATCAATAAATATAATGTTTTGTTCGAATAATTATTGGAATCAGTTTCTTTAATAATTCTAAGCAAAGTCAACAATGACATTAGACATTTTAAAGATATTATTATATATTTGAATATTAATATTTTCAATTTAACTAAATGTTTCAAGTTCGTATAAAATATTATTAGTAATTTCAATCAAACAAATTAAATTATATTATCGATGCCAAATTTTACATATCAATATATAATATTTTTATTATCCTGTTGTATTTAAGTTATGCAAGTAAAATTTTACAATTCAGTGATATGATTGATACAATTTAATAATATATGAAACAGAATAAACTAATTTAATTATATTGTGTATCACACACACACACACACACACTATTAAAGTAAGTTCTCTTAGAACAGGTCTCAAATTTGGTATAAGTATTTTGTTGCAATTTTGCTTTAGATGTATCACCGAATTAAACGAAAATTAACTTACTCTGTCATTTAATATTGTAATGTAAATACATCCTATTTTAGAAAAAAAATATAAGATTGATTCGTGAATTCATCGGTATACCTGAATTTGTATATACGATGGGATTATAAAGAAAAATAAACATATTCTCTTATAAAGCGTAAACCTACATTAATTATAATTTTTGTTTTTATTTTATAATTTTAAAAAGGGTTATAATTTAATTAATAGAAAATGTCATTAAATAGCAATCGTCGCAATTAAAATTTAAAAGTTTTATTAGAAATTATGCTCCAAAAAAAAAAACGATATATTGAAAAACTATTTGTTTATATAATAATTATGGAACATTCCTTCAAATTGAGTTTGAAAGTCTTGATGACTATTCCTATAAATTTAGAATTAAATTTCAACAAAAAAGGGGTTGAAGGTTTATAAATATACTAGACGGGTGACCCGGGCAACGCCTGGGGTTTTGCCCGATTAAATGTTTTTATTCAAATACTATTCGTTACAATTATAAATTGGCGCCGTGGATGTCATTCTTGTATAATATATAAATGAGTTTTAAAAATTGTAAAAAAGAAAAATGCATCGGCCGGGAATCGAACCCGGGCCGCCCGCGTGGCAGGCAAGCATTCTACCACTGAACCACCGATGGTTATGAGAAATGGTCATATTTGGGTATTTATTCCATTCACAAAAGCAAACGGTGACAGAATTGATTAAGAAATGGCAATGCCCGGGTTTTACCCGATTAAATGCTTTTATTCAAATATATATATATTTAAAGGTTCTCATAAAGGTTACCGATTAAAAGTTTATTTTATTTTATTTAAAGAAACATATTTTCATTTAAGTATTGTTATTTATTTTAAAAGATTAAGTAATTGTGCAAAACGATAATTGCCTTAAAAAGAAATTGCCTTAAAAAAAAAAAGAAACATTCGCGGTGATTTTGTCTTGCATTCGTTTATACAATTATTATATATATTGGCATCATATATTAACTTTATGAACGGAAAAATATGTCCAGGGTAGCCTAGTGGTCATTGATTCTGCCCGGTAAGCGGAAGGTTGTGGGTTCGATTCCCATCCCTTGACACTTTTTTTATTTTATCCATTCTGACCAAAATCTATCCGTGAACTTCACACAGTGAACTTAACACAGACAGAATAAGGCAATTATATAAGTAGATGTTTTTATATACACTTCGTTCTCTTTTTATGCGGTTTTTTTTTTATGCGGTTTTGGAGTTATGCGGTGCGAGAAACAAAAATATTCGAATTTCGAAAATTATTTTTTTGGTGATTCACTTTTTCTGAAAACGATAAGAATAACAACTACAACTCTACTATTACGCAATCAATACAAAGAAAGAATTTTGTAACGTCCTGGTTGTATGTTAAGTTATCCAACAAACAGTAGAGGGGAAGTTCCAATGTATTTTATTCCGCGCCTGCCGGTGTCTTACACAACTCGTGCAAAACCGAAATCAAAACTGAAAACCCGCCGGCGTGCCAGCTGCCGTTACAAATTTCTTTTTTCTTTTATTGACATGTTTTCTCTTGATTTGTTCTTAAAAACAAAAATACCTCGTTAAAATTGCGTGTTTTTATGCTGCATTTTGTTTTTGTATGAAACTAATTAAAAAAGCCTGCATATTGGAAAGCATTAGAAAATAAAACTTTGTGAAAGAAGGTTACTACCGAAAACCTGAACATAAATTTACTCAAGTGAATTGTAAGTTTTTTGAATAATTTTAGTGCGTAATTGTACATTAAGTTTTTTCTATAATTTTTAGTCCTCTTAAAGAAAATGTGTGACAATAATAAAAAAGAAAAAAGAAGTGCAATTTCGCTAGAAACCAAAATTATAATTCTCGATTGCTTGGCGAAAGGAGAAAGATCAACAGCAATAGGTAAACGTTATAATTTAGGCGAATCTACTATAAGAGCAATAAAAAAAAATGAAGCGGCAATAAGATCAGTCAGATCTGGTACAAATTTGAGTTCTAAAATTTCATCATATTCAAGAGGCACTTTAATAGAAAAAAAAAAAACAGAAAAGGCTCTCGTATTTGGATTGAAGATTTAACTCAAAAAAGAATTCCGTTAGATGGACATTTAATCAAGATGAAAGCCCTTAAATTTTACAAGGAGTTAAAAGAATCAGAGCCATCTACATCTTCACGTGAAAGTAATCCACAATTCTCTGCCAGCACAGGGTGGTTAACTGGTTTTATAAAAAGACATTCTTTTCATAATCTAAAAATAAAAGGTGAGGTGGCTTCTGCAGATGAAGAAGCAGCTAGAAAATATCCTGAAAAGGTTGGCTAAAATTATTAAAGATGAGGATATTGTGCCCATCAAATCTTCAATTCTGATGAAACAGGATTGCTTTGGAAAAAAAATGCCAACCCGTACTTACATTGCAAAGTCCGAAAAAAAATGCCAGTGGTTTTAAAGCTGCTAAAGATCGAGTTACTTTATTGCTGTGCAGCAATGCATCTGGCGATCGAATGTTAAAACCGCTGCTTGTAAATCGATCTTTAAAACCACGTGCATTAAAAGGAAAAGACTTAAATACACTGCCCGTACATTGGATGGCAAACAAGAAGGCCTGGTAACAACGGCTATTTCCACTGAATGGTTCAATAAATGCTTCGTACCCGAAGTAGAAAATTATATGAAAGAGATGGGTCTCGAATTTAAGATCTTATTAATTCTTGACAATGCACCAGGTCCATCCAAACTTAGAACATCCAAATATAAAGGTAGTTTTTTTTCCTCCAAACACAACGAGCCTAATTCAACCATTAGATCAGGGAATTATTTCACATTTAAAAATATTATGTAAAATTCACTTTCCAATTCATTTTCGATAAACTGGAATCCGATACAATAACAGTTACTGAAGTTTGGAAACAATTTAATATCTTGACCTGTGTAGATCATGTTGCGTTTAGCAATTGCCGAGATAAAATCACAAACTTTAAATGCATGTTGGAAAGCTGCTTGGCCTGAATGCGTATCAAAGATAAATGAATCAAATAGAACAACAATAGTAACAACAGATATTATTTCAATTGCTAAGGAAATAGGTGGGGAAGGTTTTGATGATTTTGGCGAGCATGATATAGAAGAATTGCTTGTGGACGAAGCCCTAAATGATGATGATATTTTGGAAAGTATGGTAGATACTACTAAAGATTTCGAAACAGTGTAGATAGCGAACTGGAAGATGTTACTCCACTGGACGAAAAATTACTTGGGAAGGCCTTCAACTTTCCGGTAAATTGGAAACTTTTTTTATTCAAAATGATAATGATGTAGAACGCGCCTTAAAATTCCAACGTGATCTGAAATTTTGTATGTCTGGCTACAGAGAACTCTACAAAGAACTAGTCAAGCCATCACAACGTTTGATTAATGACTACCTTGTCAAAGAAAAAAAAAATCACTGAAGTTCCTAAAGAAGCATTACCATGTAGATCTGATGACGTAATTTCATCTTCAAGTGATGAAAGTGATTTTGCACCAATCCACAAACGGGTTCGCACATTATCAGACAGCGAATAATGATGAAAACATTCTTAATATGATTTTAAATAAAGTTTTGTTTATGTTTTTTTTACATATTAAGTTTTGTTTTTGTTATTAACACACATATGTGCCATTATTAAAATATGATGAGAAAAAAATTAAATCTTATTATTTATAAATCTTTTTTATGCGATTTCTGGTGCATTTTAAAACATTATTTAGGTTTTATTGCGATTTTTTTAATAAATGGAACGTATCCATCATTTTACATATAAATGTATGTCTTTTTTTGTGCGATTTTTTTTTATGCGGATTCCCCTGGAACGCATCTACCGCATAAAAAAAGAACCAAGTGTATATTCAAATATGTTAAATGATAGATTATTCAAATATATATTATGGATATATATACGTAAATAATTCGAAAAATAGTTTTTAAAAAATAGAAAATTACGTATTAAAAAGTATTGTGTGTGAGAGATATAAAGATATTTGAAAAAAAATATTAAATATATATTTTTAAATATAGTAAAAGCATATTTTTATTTTTCTGCAAAAGGCTTTTCGAATATTAGTAAAAATAAACTATAATTAAAAAAAGCAAGATGGATCTATTCATTTTATATGTGATTAATGAAAGGACGGGATTTTAAAACTATTTTTTATTGCCTGGCTGTCCCTTTTCTTAGCCTGCAGAAAGCCAACCTTTGTAGCTAGTTGTCACAATAAATATTACAGTTTTGTACCCATTAGGTGTCAAGGTTGTGCATTGATTAGGCTAGTATTTTTTATCTAATAAAATTTATTAATAAAAATTGATGCGAGAGAAAAAAGGGGAATAAAATATTAAAATATTTTCAATAAAAAAAATAAAATAATAATTATATATTTATATACATAAAACCTTTGAAGGACTATTGCTGGTGTCTATAATAAATATAATGGAATAAAAAAAAGGACTTACTGTAGGGGGGAAAGCCACCGACCAATAGCCGGCGGTACGGTCAGCTGCTCTCTTCATTTCCTGCTAAGATCTAACTGCCACTTATTTTTTAATTTTGCGCCATCTACCGGTTCAAACCATGCTGCGCCCCCTATGAGCGAACTCTGAGAGCCTTTTAAATTAAAATAAATGCTTAATATTATCAAGGTTTTATATTGAATATATATTACGAGTATACGAATATATATTCAATTTTTTTAACTCTAAATATTTAATTTAAAAAAAAAAAGAAAGAGCAAAAGACAATTTCATGCCTGTCTTTATGGGTGATGGGATATGGGCCTTCTTCTCAGTTGAAGGTTGAGGGTTGTTGGTGGCGGTGGGGTTCACAGGCTCATCTATTGCCTGGTCATCTCCAGGCTGCTGAGGCGGGTCGGCCTCCATCACTGAGGGACTCTTGGCATCTCACTGAGGGGCTCTTGACATCTCACTGAGAGACTCTTGGCATCTCACTGAGAGACTCTTGGCATCTCACTGATAGACTCTTGGCATCTCACTGAGAGACTCTTGGCATCTCACTGAGAGACTCTTGGCATCTCACTGAGAGACTCTTGGCATCTCACTGAGAGACTCTTGGCATCTCACTGAGAGACTCTTGGCATCTCACTGAGAGACTCTTGGCATCTCACTGAGGGGCTCTTGACATCTCACTGAGGGACTCTTGGCATCGGGGTGTAGCAGGTCGCATGGAGAGTTTAGACCGTAGGTAGGCCAGGGAGGTCTATAGGCCTTTTAAAAATCTTCTTTCAGCCACACTTTCCAGCTCCAAACCAGGCTTGGTGTAGTCCCTCACGCACAACTTCCTGGTCAGTGGTGAGCTCCTGTAGCATGCCATCTCCTTGAAGATGTCCATGGGGTTCTGGACCTGGAGTAGGGGTTGGCTTGTAGTCCAGACTGCATGCTACAGCAGTCAGTTGGCTGTCAGAATTGGTCCTCAGGGACTCATTGCCTCCCCCTGCCACAACACTCTCACATACAGGTGAGCTCCTCTTCAATCATTAACATTGTTTCCCCCTACAGCAGGACATCCTTTCATTCCATTTAAATTTATTTAGACCACCAGCAAGCTATATACAACCAATTACATTATATTTGTCTTCCGCATCCTCAACATTAACATAAAATAATAGAAAGGGTTTATTTAAAGGTTAAACTTACTCCATCAATTTTGAAATATTTTAAAATTATATATTGGCATTCTTTTTGAATAAAAAAAAAGAGGTACTTCAGTCCTAGGAAATTTGAATATCTTTTGTTTACATTAGAAATATACATTCGATTCTTCTATGAATGTATTTTAAGTAAACTCTATTATCTATTATAAAAAGATTTTCTACATTTTTTTCGAGATATAATTTGAATTTAATAGAAAAAAAATATATATTAATTATATATGTGGTCGCCACACTTTGCTTCAGCGAGCGCGAACTGGGACAGACGCTCCACTACACACACGGGCAGTGTGACGGCCTCGGTAACCGCGAGCGTCAACTAGCAACGCTGCACTCTTGCACCATCCTTTTTCAGAAGCGCCTCTCTGCCTTACGGTAGATGCC